ATATATATATATATATATATATATATATATATATATTGTTGCAAGTACATTACAAAATTGTTCCAAAAGATTTGCTTATTAAAGCCTCTAGGTTATATTCATATGATATGATAGGGACACACATCTAGTAGTCATAATGTGTTGAAGATGAATGTTATGACTTGACTTTTTCCTAAGAGTGGGGATGGTGTGGGGAGGGCAGGAAGGTGTCTTTTAACTTAAAATGCCCTCGCTTTTAGTGAGTTTAATTCATTTTACTGTTTACAATTTTTTAATTTAATATACACTTTTCTAGCCTCCATGCGCAAGGCTCTTTAAAGACTAGCTGAGCTTTTTCTTTGGTGCTTGGTTTTTTGTTTTCTAAGTTAATTTAGATCTCTAGATAGGGACCAGACTGATGCTGGAAAGGACAGGATTCTGCTTATCTAGAGAACAAGGGCACCAGTAATGCAAGTCTCCTAGGGTGACCAGATGTCTCAATTTTATAGGGACAGTCCCGATTTTTGGGGCTTTTTCTTATATAGGCTCCTATTACTACCCCCTCCCCCCCCCGCCCCGTCCCAATTTTTCACACTTGCTGTCTGGTCACCCTAAAGTCTCCCCACACACGCACTTCAGCCATGACTTGATGGCCGCAAGTATCTGATCCACATGAGTGGGATGAGTGTATAAGGAGATTTTGTGACATTTGCTGGGGAGGGTTTCTGGAATTTATTTCAGCTGCTGCGAAAGGATTTTCTTACAATTAATGATTCTTTCTTAAAAACTTTTCTGAAAAATTTTAAATGTAACATTTAATTAAAAAGAACCCTTTGGTATACGATCAGTTACACACACACACACTCCTATGCACAGACAACTATCCCCCTTCCTTTCACCCACAGATCTGAGGCCAGTGATCGGTGCAGAAGGGAAACCTTCCTCATGCAAACCTTCCATAATGCCTCCCACAGTCATAGGGGCATTTATGTATTACCAAGAGTTCTGAAGGAGCTCAGATATCAAACGACAGAATTACGCCCTAACTGTGGTGTGTAATCTATTGCTTAAATCAGCCTCTGTGCCTGATGACTGGAAGGTAACTAATGTAACGCTGACTTTTTAAAAGGGCTCCGAAGGTGATCTTAGCAATTACAGGCTGGTAAGCCTAACTTCAGTACCAGGCAAATTAGTTATAACTTTAATAAAGAACAGAATTATCAGACACACAGATAAACACGATTTGTTAAGAGTCAACACAATTTTTGCAAAGGCAAATCATGCCTCACCAATCTATTAAAATTCTTTGAGGGCATCAAGAAGCATGCGGATAAGAGTAATCTGGACTTTCAGAAAGCCTTTGACAAGAGCCTTGGGTGACAGACCTTAAGGAAACTATGTAGCCATAGGATGAAAGGGAAGGTCCTCTTATGGATCAGTAACTAGTTGAAAGATAGGAAACAAAGGGTAGGAATAAATGGTCAGTTTTTCACAATGGAAATAGATGAACAGTGGAGTCCCCCAAGAATCTGTACTGGGACCGGTGCTGTTAACCATATTCATAGATGATTTGGAAAAAGAGGTGAACAGAGAAATGGCCATCCATGTTTGCAGATGATACAAAATCATTGAAGATAGTTACATCCAAAGTAGACTATGAAGAATTATGGAGGGATCTCTCAAAAAAGGATGACTGAACAACAAAATGGCAGATGAAATTCAACGTTGATTAAAGCACATTGGAAAAAATAATCCCAACTATACATATACAATGATGGGTTCTAAATTAGCTGTAACTACCCAAGAAAGAGATCTTGGAGTCA